GACCCCCCATCCCCTACACCCCCCATATACTCCATAGTCTCCCATTTCCCACAGACTCTCAGCTATTAAGTACACCCACATCCCCGATGGCCTCCCCATGCCCTACAAGCCCTCCAGCTTTGGGGCATCCCCTTGCCCTATAACCCTCAAGCTCCAAGCCCCTTTATTTTACATCCCCTACAGGCCCCCCCAGCTAAAAAACCTCTCACTTTTAAGGCATCCCCTCCCCTATAGCCCCCCCCAGCTATGAGGTCCTGCCATCCATAACGCCCCACATTTCCCAGCCCCCCCCACACCCCCTGCCGCCCTCTGGGGGTTCCCCAAAGTCCCCCCAGACCCTTTCACCCCCATCTCGGCCAGGCGCCCGCTGCTGTAACGCCCCCACCCCTCACAGGCCCCTCCGCCCTCTTTGCAGCCCCGAGCACACCCAGGCCTGACCCTCGGGCCCTTCCCCGCCACTCACCGGTGCCCGGGGGGGGTTGGGGGTGCCGGTCCGGCCGGGTGGGGGCGGGGGGGGGAGGGAGGGTGGCCCCGGGGCCGCTCCCGGGGGGTCCGGGGCCGCTCCCGCCCCGCCGCGCGCGCCGACAACAATGGGGCCGCGGCCGCTGCGCCGCCGCTTTTATACCGCCCCGCGTCACGTGATCCCCGCGCTGCCACAGCTCCGCAGCGAGGCTTCATGGGAAAGCGAGTCCCCTGGGGCCAGAGGGCAGTGCTGGCGTGGGGTGTGATGGGAAATGTAGTCCGGAAATGCGGAACATGGAGGACGATAGGAGATCATGGACTCGCGGGAGCGTTTGGGTTGGAAAGGACCTTAAAGATCATCCACTCCCACCCCTGCCATGGGCAGAGACACCTTCCGTTATGCCACGTTCCTCCAAGCCTTGTCCAACGTAGCCTTGGACACTTCCAGGGATCCAGGGGCAGCCACAGCTGCTCTGGGAATTCCATCCCAGGGCCTCCCCACCCTCACAGCCAGGAATTCCTTCCCAATATCCCATCCATCCCTGTAATCCATTCCCTGTGTCCTGTCCCTCCACCCCTGGTCCCCAGTCCCTCTCCAGCTCTCCTGGAGCCCCTTTGGGCCCTGCAAGGGGCTCCAAGGTCTCCCTGCAGTGAGGTGAGCACCCCCAGCTCTCCCAGCCTGGCCCCAGAGGGGCTCCAGCCCTGGAGCAGCTCCGTGGCCTCCTCTGGCCTCTGTGCAGCAGCTCCTCATCCTCCCTGTGCAGGACCCCAGGGCTGGAGCAGCTCTGCAGGTGGGGTCTCACCTGGGCACAGGGGGCACAGGGGCAGAACCCCCCTTCCCTCTGCCCAGGGCAGGGGGTACCTGGGTGCCCGTGGATGTGTCCAACACCCTCAAATCCTTCTCCACGGGGTCACCCATCCCCCGAATCCTGCTCCCAGGGTGCTCCCAATCCCTTCCCCACCCAGCTGGATTTTTGCCCTAGGTCACCCTAGCCCAGGGGCAAAACCTGCCCTCGGCTGTGTTGAACTTCCTGAGGTTCCCACGGTGCCACCTCTCCAGCCTGTCCAGGGATGGCAAAACATGATGGAACCCTAGCCTGGGACACGTGGCTGGGGACAGTAGGATGGAACAGAGATGTGACATTGGCATGAGGCTGGGGACACCAAAATGAGGGCATTGGGATGGGAACACTGCCCTGGGGAACTGGGATGAAAACATTGGGATGGGACACCAGGATAGAGACACTGGGATGGATGGTCAGCACCAGGATGGGTCATTGGGGTTGGGACACTGGGCTGGGACATTGAAATGGGACACTGGGATGGGACAAAGACGAGATGTGACATAAAATGGGGACATTACAAGGCCCTACCTGGATAGGGTAGGGGACATAGAGGGGGGGACACAGGGTGATGTCCCAGGAGCCCCGGCTGTGGCTGGCAGGGGCAGGTTTGGGAGATGAGACAGTGACAGCACCTTGGCAGTGCCATGGGGTCCCTCAGAGTAGCCCCAGGTGTCACTCGAGGGTGTCGCAGGACCCTCGGGGGTCTGCTGTGTAGGGTCCTCCAGGGTGGGCACCTGGGCACCTTGTCACTGCACTGGCAGGAGCCACGGGGGGTGGGACAGGGACCTCCGGCGTCGGGGGATGGGACCCAGCTGCCGTTTGTCCCCCCAGCGCAGCTCTTGTCCTCCTGAGAAGCTGGGGGACCCCAACACCAGCCCTGCCATGGCCTTGGCCCCTCAGGCTCTGTGTCCTTGTCCCTTTGTGTCCAGCCTCGTGTCCACTGTGGGTCCATGTCCTTGTCTTTCTGTGTCCCTGTCCCTGTGTGTCCCTTTCCTTCACGTGTCCACTGTGGGTTCCAGTCCCTGCCCGTGTTCCTGCCCTGCCCTTGTCCCTAAGGGTGTCCATGCCCACATCCTGGAGTGTCCCTGTCCCTGCTGTGTCCCTGATCACAATGTGTCTGTGTCCCTGTCCCTGCTGTGTCCCTGTCCCTGCTGTGTCCTTGTCCCTGCAGTGTCCTTGACCACCACGTGTCTGTGTCCCTGTCCCAGGATTGTCTGTCCCTGTCATGTCCTTGTCCACCATGCCCATGTCTGTGTCTGGTATCCCCTTGTCCCCAGTGTGTCCCATTGTCCTTGACCCTGGCATGTCCCTTGCCACGTCCTGTCCCATGTCCCATCAATCCCCACGTCCCTGGTGTGTCCTTGTCCCTTGTCCCTGTCCCTTGTCCCTGCCCTTTGTCCCTGTCGTGTCCTGCCAGGCCAGGATGGACCCTGGAGGGTGCTGGGAGGGGGAGGGGGGTCCAGGGGCATTTCTGTGGAAAATCCCCCCCTTCACCAAAGGCCATGCCCAGG